AGTACAAACTTTTTGCTTTTCGTAACTCATAAGTAATACTATATTAAGAAAACTAATAAATATACTGTATTTATTTTATTTTATTGATATTTATGTATATTTATCATTTTCATTTATATATTTATACAGCCCAACCAGATGGGAAAACTATATAACTACCCTAATGAAAACTAATATAAAAGGTAATATAATATTTACTACTTTTCAAAGTATATTCTCCATTCAATTTTAAACGATTTTTCTTTAGTTCGAACCATTATTGAAAACATGAGGACAGAAAAAGTCACATTGGAGGCTATTTCGCGTAAATGTAATTAATCACTTCTTTGATGGATAAATAAAAAAGAGGTGAACTATGTGCGGGGTTGGTCACAAGCTTCACCTTTTCAGAAGCCAAAATTTACTTTGTGTTGTTTGCTATATGCGCCGAAGCATTGTCATGGTGCAATGCAAATTCTTGGTTGTTTTACCCTAACTCTTTCAAAGACACTTGTCAAACAAGTGGCGGTATACCGCTCAGCATTAACTGTCTTTTGCTCATCAAGTGAGATCTTTTTGATCTTTTTTCCCATACTTCTTGCCTGCCTCAAATTTGTTGGTTTTCTATCGGCTTTAAACACCCATACAAAAAACTGTTGCTTTGTTTTCGAAATGTAACAATATATCCACAGTATTTGAAAGTCTGTGACCATACTTTAACAACATTTTTTTACAGCAATCGACTCGACTCTGTTTTTGTTCTGTTTGTGGTGAGTTCATGAGGAATCCAGCGACAACAAAGTTTTTTAACTTTAAAGTGTTGATGTAATTTTTTGAATGTGGCTTATACCAATTCCAAAGTATCGAATTTTATGATGTGCTGGTTTTCTTTAATTGGACAGTAATCACATTTCCTCAGTGATCACAGTTAAGGGTCGACCTCTACGAATTTCGTCATTTAGAGAAACACGACGACCGTAAAATTGTGCATATCGACACTTGACGGTGCTCAAAAGAGATGCTTTCATCCCGAAAGCGTTTTGAAGACGAGGAGTGCAATCATGCGGACAAAATGAACTTCAAAAATCGTAGAAAAATAATCGCCCTAAATATTTTCGTGTTGATTTAATTTTTACTATTGTTGTTTACGAGTTTCTTATTTTTTTTAAATATATAACATTCGAAATTCAAACATTTATGGGCGACCACGAGCGCAAAATTTTAGTGTGGCCCAAGGGCATAGATAATTAATTTGCCAGCATCTGTTTTCCCATATGATTACACGTGTACTGACTTCCTCGTTGGCCTAGTGGTCGTAAGCGCGACTGCTGATCATAAGGTCCCAAACTCGAATCCCAGGTCGGGCCAAAATCTTATATTGGGGTATTCTACCCAAAAGTTTTCAGTAGCTGCTCGGAGTCAGGATGTTGACGGGGTTTTACCCTATGCGGTCTCGGAAACCTTGTAAAGCGTTTGGTTCTGAAACCTTGTAAAGCGTTTGGTTCTGCGCCTGATCTCTCTTCGGTCGCGTTGGATTGCCGTTCCATAGGACCGTGAGTGAGGGAATAAGGTGTACACCTGTGTTTGCGCACACTTTCGTGCACTATACTCCTCTCCATCGCAGATGAGACTAGCCGCCGTGGCCGGATTTGCGTCTGAATATTATTATTATGTTTTTAAGGCAAAAGTGAAAAAGCTTTCGTTATGCTTGTTAAGTCAATGTACTTTCCAATCTTCAGCTATATCATATAGTAGGAGTATATTCAAGCACTGACTCATTATCTATACCAATATTATAGAGGAAAGTTTTTTTTGTTCGTTTGTATCTAATAAGCTCTGAAACTACTGGACCGATTTTAACAATTTTTCACCAATAGAAATCTAAATTGTCAGGAAGTGACATACTGAGGAGATACGACAAAGAACCCCTTTGTCGTATCTCCTCAGTTTCAAGGCACTCCCCTTCTTACCTCAGCCAGTATCGGTATCCTCGGAGTCGACATATCGAGTGACGTGCAGTTTCGTGGTCAATTGGAAGACAAGGCCAAATTGGCCTCTAAAAAGCTTGGCGTGCTCAGCAGAGCGGGACAGTATTTCATGCCGGCACACCGCCTGCAACTTTACAATGCGCAGGTTCGGCCTCACATGGAATACTGTTCCCATCTCTGGGCAGGGGCTCCCCAGTGCCAGCTCCTTCCACTTGACCGCATCCAGCGCAGAGCGGCTTGAATCGTCGATGACCGAGCCCTTTCCGATCGGTTCGATTCATTGGCACTGCGAAGAGATTTTGCATCCCTTTGCATTTTCTTTCGCATCTACCATGGGGAGTGCTCTGAGGAATTGTTCGGATTAATCCCAACCGCCAAATTTCACGAACGCACATCGCGGCAGAACTCCCGATACCATCCACACCATCTGGATGATTGGTGGTCCACCACTGTGCGATTTAGAAGATGTTTTCTTCCTCGCACGACTTCCTTGTGGAATCGATTACCATCAGCGATTTTTCCGGACCGTTACGACTTAGGGACCTTCAAGAAAAGAGCGTACTCCTTTTTAAAAGGCCGGCAACGCATCTGCAATTCCCTCCTCCCTGGTGTTGCAGTTGTTCATGGGCGGCGGTAGTCACTTACCATCAGGTGAGCCGCATGCTCGTTTGCCCCCTCTCCTATAAAAAAAAATGTAACATTATTTAAAAAAATTAGAGACCCTTTAGAAATTTGTATTAATGTAACCCAAAGTAGCAAAATTTTGAATATAAAATTCATTATTTGGCGTGCGCTATTAGCTAATAAACTTTTAATGATACATTAAAATTATGTACTACATGATGAAAGTACTCATTATTACCTACAAAAAAGTCCGCGAGGTAATATATCTAACTATCATAGTCACAATAGAAGATTTTGTGTTCTAAAATTTAATAAGATCGCCGGTAGAAACAAAAGTTGGTTCAAGGGTATTTATCTAGCAGTAAAATACTTTTGATTCATTCGAATCTTAAGCGTACTGATAGTACAATCGATTTTTTTAATGATTTTAATTTTTTTACTGACTGAATTTAACTTTTCCGGATTTTGTTACACTTCATAATAAATTCTGATGATTTCGTACTTCGCAGCACCTATGGTTACAAGAGAAATGACTAAGGAATTCTAATGAACCCTCGACTTCGAATTGTATTCAATAAGATTTTTCGAAACATGACAAAATCTGTTAAAAAAATGTCTATGAGTTATTTTGGTGCAAATAAAAGAGAAGTTTTTTTTGTCTCATCGAAGGAAAAACATCTGAATATTCATGAAGTTATTCGGTCGTCTTGTGGCCGATATTGAGGGAAACATAAAAATAATATTAAAGTCTTAAGCTTGTTCACTCTTCTTTGTTAACAAAAATCATATTATCGCTTGACATATTTTCATCGTCTCCTATTATCAATGTAAAACTATATTTAATTTTTCGACCTAATCGTATTGAGTGTTTGCATAAATCTTTGCGAAAAGTGAACGCTACATTTATAAGTACAGATACTTATTTAAAAAATATTCAGTTTCATTCAGTAAAGGAATCGTCTTCTCTCTATCTCTCTCTCCCTCTCTCTCTCTCTCTCTCTCTCTCTCTCTCTAGGTACATATTTATTGATTATCGATGTTTTGGTGCCGTGTGGTGCCAGCTTAAGAGAATCCATTACCCAATATCGTTCCGTAGGAGTCGACTGAGGGGTCTGCCGAAGAGGTCTTTTGGCTTCTGATAGATGGCGGGTCTGAATGGATGGATCTGGTTTACACGTGGCGTAAAATAAAATACTCATAATGGCGACAGGAAGCAGCGTCAGAGGTGCAAGACGTAATATGAGGAGTAAGGCAAATCCTCCCTACAACGATTTAGGCCCGTGTTTAGCAATGGCCTTTTAACCCATTATGACCTGAATTAATTTAGGGTCTTAGAATTGGATAATTCTTTACGTGGTAAAGCCATGCTGCAGCAATATTAGTAGTACAGTTGTAGCACGAATGGGTTTGCTCGAGCGGGGAAGGAGCACGCTCTCACAGAATACCAGCGTAAAATAGCAGCTTAACACTGCTGTATTTCGTATGGTGAGTGTAGAGAACCTGAGACCCTTTTTACTGGAAAAGAGGCATTCCATCTTAGTCCTCACGGGTGACAACGCATCTGCATTTTGATTCGCAAACGAGGATAGATGTAGATGTCTATGGGCCACAGCAACCACTTACCATCATGTGGAATGTGTGCTCGATTGTCACCCTTATCCTATATAAAAAAATTGATATGTTGTTATTAACTCTTACTACTTCTATTAGGTTTGTATTAACTTATCATTAGCTAACAAATTTTACCGTCTATTCATAAAATTATGTTGGTTTAAAGTAATGTAGGACTGAATAAATAAAATAGAGTATTTATCAAATAATATAATATTAGCACACCGTTTGTAGTTTACATACGAATGTGAAACTGGTAATTGCAGGATGCACAGAGCCCTACGTCACATTTGATGCATTGCAGTGTTGCCTGACTCTACACGTCTCTAAAGCACATTTGCTACGTGATTCGCTAGAAACTAGTGTTTTAGGTAGGTGCAATGCAAAAAGGCTGCATATTTTTGCGATTCGTCTGCCAAAAGGTTGTAAACATTTTCTACCAAAATAAGTCCAGGATTTCCGTAAGGGACTTTCCTCGAACTGAACTAAAATCTCCTCCACATTGGCGGCTCCCGAACTAAATTTTCATCAATCCATCTTCGTGACGCATTCTTTTTTTTATTTTTTCGATGGCGGTTCTTCTGCTTCGGTATTGTATGAATCACTTGAAGAACTGTCAGATTGATTAGAGCAAGATTGACTTTTGTGACCTTCTCCACGACTTCAACTACCTATTCCGCAGCGGCCTCGTGAAGAACGTAAACCACCAGACAATACAGTACAATATGGCTCGGCTACAGTTTGTACATCAGGTATCGCCCGTGGATTTTAGCAAATAGGGGAGCGTGTCCGACGCGATTACAATGACGTAGACGCGAACACCACTTCGCTCTCACCATTGAGTTGATGATCTGTGAGGATATTTGTTAGACCGCCTCCTTCTTCGCCGCCCGAATCTTGATCAGAGACGATTGCAAGCAACGGCACTTCAAGTTCTTCATCTTCTTCTACTATGGCTAGTGCTTCGTGTAGTGAACAACCCCTATCAAGATAAATAAATACTATTATACACGAAAATTAAAAAATAATCATACCCACATGTAATTTGAAAAGACACCTTATCGGCCTAGAGGTGCCATGCGGCACCCGTAACTTTTGGCGTATAATAAATGAAATACGCAAGCAAAACTGAATAAAATTACATTACGATCTAGTCATACAAATATATAAAACAAAATGCATTTTAATGATATATGTTTGCATTATATAAAGAATACCAAAGCAGAATAGAAATCTATTCTCAACCTCGATGGCTGGCATCAAAAAAGTAGTTATCGGCGATTAAGGCTAAGTTCTAATGGAAGTTTCTTCATTATTAATTTAAATTAAAATTTTATTGGAGTTAAATTGTACCTATGTACTGTTGTAAAATCAACGTAAAGTCTCTTTTTTTATGCATGTGGTGCCCTCCTATAAGTAATGGGGCATTTAGTATTAATAATTGTGATGTCATTCCATATGTATGTAACAGTGTACTCATTGTTGTGAGAGCCTAATAAAATAAATATATAAAAAAATAAATAAATAAATAAAATAAATATTATTCAAAATAAATAAATTATAACATACTTGAACGATAAATTCATTTTTGCCAATAATTTCACAACACTGATTTATTGACGATCGTGCCGGTCTAAGCAAGTGAATCAGTTGAAATAATGTATTAAAACTGTTAGCTGTCTTGCTATAGCATCGCATTGCCTGCCAATCAACCTGGCTTTACTGTTCAAGGCGCGCGTATTGCACGTAAATATGAAAGGCTAGAACTGAGTGCCAAACAGCACCACTAGGCTGGGATATGTTAATAAGAAAAATAAAGTAATTTATACTAATATTAAGTAATTTGCTTATTATCTATACAAATAAATAAAATTTAAGTGTATGTTTGTAATTTCAAAATAACAGCTTTTTACTAAATGCATATGAAAGTGTATACGGTACTTATTTTAAGAAAATTAAAATTTTTATAAATTTTGTATGTCCGTCTGTTTGTTCCGGATAATCTCCGAAACGGCTAGACCGATTTTGACGGGACTTTCATTGGCAGATACGAGTAGCTGATGTTACAAGGAGTAACTTAGACTACTTTTATTTTAGAAAAATAATTAGGGGTCCGCGCAAAAAAATGAAAACCCATGAATTCCAATCGTAATAAATTCCACCCGAGCGAAGTCGCGGGGAACAGCAAGTTATAATAATAAATAAATCGTCTTACACAACGAAATCGTATTTTGATTAAACTTCTAAAACCAGCTGGATAGATATTTTCATGAATACATTGCCACTTTCCAGTTCACGTCGGCTTTAGTTATACTGTTTTTCATTTCCAATCTAGCGAATTTTGGGTTCGGTGAAATTGGATGAATTATCTAATTGTAAATTTGTAATTGAATACGCTGCAAATAGTTCGTTCCCCGCCGACACCAATAGATTATTTTGAAATTAAAGTGCTGATGTTGGTACCACATGCTCGAGATGACTAAAAAAATCATAAGAAATGTAGTTGCTGCTTATTTGAGAAATAAAATATTTCGAGGAATTGTAGTGTCCGCCAAAATGCACTACTTATTGCTCCATAACCCTTTCAAAAATTATAGAAAGCCTATGTCTTTGACGTATTTCGGTTCATACTTTACATACTTAACTTTTTCCAGTCGGTGTTAATGCCATTTTAGGGTTCCGTACCCAAAGGGTATCCAACAGGACCCTATTACTAAGCCTCCACTGACCGTCCGTCTGTCCATCCGTCTGTCTGTCAGTGGGCTGTATCTCATGATCCGTAATAGGTAGAGAGTTGAAATTTTCCCCGAATGTGTATTTTTGTTGCCACTATAACAACAAAATTAAAATTAATATAAATTAAAAATCAAAAGGGACTCCTCTACTAGAAACGCATATTACGGTGGTACGGAACCCTTTTTGTTCTATTTGTTAGTTACCAAATGTTCCCGTATGGGTGGCACCAGTCGGCGCATTTCTCTTATGACTTCGTCTTATAAGTTACAGCTCATCTTTAGTTAATTAACAACTTATTTCTTGATATTCTAATATGTATGTTCTAGTATGTGTGTCTAACAAATAAATGAAAAAGCGGGCGAACAAAATCTAACTTAAAGCATTGGCCAGCAGCTTCTTAATGGATAAAGTTTTTCAGCCACAAATCCTGCCCACGAGGGATCGACTTAGCTCACTTAGACACTTAAATGTAGTAAAGGCTATTCGCGTAATACAATTTTAAGTAAGATACAGCTAAAGTTTAATCAAATACTCAATTATTTTTTATCAGAGAATATCTTAAAAATAAACTAGTCTAAGATAAAATATGTTAAGTATCCGTGAGGCACTATAAACCAAATAAGAAAAATGTAGGTACAGTTATTTTCTCCTTTCGGCTAGTGAGCCTATCAACTTAACGAAGTTTAATTAAGAAGAAAAAAGAAGATGTTTTAAAAATTATTCTCCTCAGTTGTGAAAATTACTAAATTAATGGTCAACTTAGGTCAAAAACGGCGTGTATTACTTTTATATATTATTGATTTGTTTACATACGTTAATTTTTCTTAAATATATCAAGTACACTGGACGTGTATAGGCTGACTATGAGAACCAATGACGCTGAAACATTGTAGTACTAAATGATTGAACTGTTCGTCTGCACTCATAATTATGTTGCATATTCCAAGTGACGCGACGCCGGTTCGGAGTACTTCATTATGTTTCGGAAAACACTAACGGGGAACTATTTCCTGAAAATCAGGAACGGTACTAGCGTGGGCGTTAATAAGGGAAACGCTATAGTGTTCGGTAATTACTCTTTTGTTCTAATTTGCGTATGTTACAGTCATTGATATGTATGTTTCTTTCATTATAAATATTTACAATGTTTCTAAATACGAATAACTAATTAAATATAGCAACATAACTTTAACAATGTCTAATATTAGGTACTAGTATAGTTGTAACACGAATGGGTCGGCTCGACCGGGGAAGGACCACGCTCTCGCAGAATACCAGCGTAAAATAGCAGCTTAACGCTGCTGTGATTCGTATGGTGAGTGGAGAGAACCGGAGACCCTTTTTACTGGAAACGAGTCATTCCATCTTAGTCCTCTGGGGTGACAACGCATCTGCATTTTGATTCGCAAACGAGGATAGATGTAGATGTCTATGGGCGACAGCAACCACTTACCATCAGGTGGACTGTGTGATCGTTTGTCACCCTATCCTATTAAAAAAACCTAAATATAGTTTCTCAAAAGCAACTCATAACGATTTAGATAAAATTAGCAGTTTACGCTGAATAAGTCTTTCCAAAAAAATATTGTACTTAAAACTAAATACTCTTTCAGTTTGGCAGGTTAGTAACTGCCCCGTCACGGATTTTTTAAAACTTAGTCTAATATTATAATTACAAATATGGATTTATTCACAATACATCTTATCCTATACTTTTAATTTGCTTACAAATTATGACGTTTATATCGGATTTGACTCTTATATGTAATATTTTAAAGAAGAAGACAAACTTTTATTATCATCATCATTCTTATCTGCAAGATTTAAAGAGTCGTTAAAGTACATACGATGTATAATTCTTAAAACAACCATTTCTGTGCAAAACTTATTACAGACGTATATATGTAAAAGGGATTTATCGTCAAAATTAAACCAATTTTGGAAAAGTTTTCTGCCTTGTGTAACACAAGTACTTAACTTCTTGTTGCTATAATCATCAATTTATTAAACTATGAGCGGCGGCTGGCTTTCAATGTATTAAGCTTCGGGATCTAGTGCGGATTAATTCTCATTGTAACGTTTCAATAAACTTGTGCTAAAGTTGTCTGTATGTTACGAAATACCATTAGTGTCTAATTAACAACATTGATTATTATTAATACAGCAATATGTAATCAGTATAACTATTTTTATATAGAATACGGATGATAATAAACACCTAAATTTTTTTCAGAATCAATATGCAGATATGTTTTCACCCCTGAATATTAAGATGCAATGCCTCGTTTCCGGTCAAAAAGGGTCTCCGGCCCTATACCTACACTCACCAAACGAAACTCAGTAGGATAAAGCTGCATTTTCACGCTGATGAAGATACACACTGCTTAAAGCTTCTGCAATACACAGGAAAGCCATTGATGATATCCATTACATTTATGTATCATAATTCGTATAAAATTGTCACTGAAAAACATAATCGTGAATTTTTTTGTTTTTATTACAAGCTGACTTGGCAGACGTTTTACTGCCCTTTCCGTTAGGTGGTGCCATGAGTTTCACTCCGAATTCAAACCGGATTTTACTGTGTAAATCTAAAATTCATGAATAACTCAACTAGAACTTAACAACAATTTATCGGCTAGTAGAACATTTTATCGGCTTTTATCGGAGTTTGTGATTTTTTTTTTGCACTATGCCACTAAAACGACATACATACGTTGTGAATATATATCATTTTGATAGATACATTTCAGATCCTAGCATAGCTGTGAACAAACGTCTTGTCAAAACAAATATATATAACGTGAATATTTTCTCAATTGGTCAGTTATTCAGAAGTTATACGATCACTAACAGATGCACCAACGATTATATAGTTGATAGTGTAGATCTTTTTGAGTTTCGAGTCATTCTATATACATATATCGGTTCTGAATAAAATTAAATAACGGTTAATTTATAGAGTCACTCGTTGCTTTGCGGAAATCCATTATATTCTAAATGTTAAAAATTGATTAGCTAAGATTTTTTTTTATGGGAGAGGGGGCAAACGAGCATGCGACTCACCTGATGGTAAGTGACTACCGCCGCCCATGAACAACCGCAACACCAGGGGAACCAGGGGAATTGCAGATGCGTTGCCGGCCTTTTAAAATGAAGTAGGCGTAATAAAATAACATGATGTGTCTTACCTAGTTTAAAGATCAACAACCTCCTTTAAACTAGGTTTGATTATATTACGCCCATAATTAATTCTTAACATCTTTAAATAATGATTATTAATGACGAGATATATGCATAAAAAATATACTAAAATTTGGTATCTATGTCATGTAGGTGGGTGTTTTACCGACCGATTTCAACCACGTTGTCAACTATCTGAATTTAAACTGTTGTCAACAATATAACTATCGGAAGCTGTCATCTGCGTTTAAAAACAGAGTTATAGAACACTATAACTTGTAACAACAAGGGTCCGCTCAATTACAGCTTGCACACGTTCCGTTTGTTGAGTGGGGTCTGACGGAATCCCGCCAATTGTGAGTTGGCACCGGTTCTAACGCGTTTTTTTCGGTACTCCTACTCCCTAGGCGTTGTCCCGAATTCATGGAAGACAGCTTTCGTACACCCGCTCCCTAAAACAGGTAACCGCTCTGATCCGTCAAACTACAGGACTATCGCCATCATCTCCTTATTCTCGAAAATATTGGAATCCATTATTAACTGCCAGCTCATGCGGTACCTTGAGGAGCACCAGATTATTAGTGACCGCCAGTACGGTTTCCGTCGGGGTCGCTCAGCTGGTGATCTTGTTTACCTAACACATAGATGGGCACAGGCGATCGAGTCCAAGGGGGAGGCATTGGCCATTAGTTTGGGCATAGCGAAGGCCTTCGATCGGGTCTGGCACAAAGCGCTTCTTTCGAAACTTCCTTCTTTTTGGGCTTTCCGAGAAATTGTGCAATTGGATCACCAGTTTTCTGGCTGATCGAAGCATCAAGGCCGTAGTAGACGGTGCATGCTCCGATTACAAGCCTATTAACGCTGGTGTTCCACAAGGCTATCACCAACGCTGTTTCTTCTGCATATCGGTCTTTTTTTGCATCCTACCCTTGGGGGCGGGTTTGCTTCTCGCCGGAAGATCCCAGCGTTGTTGCCGATTCTGTTGCTGATGTGGTACTTCAGGGTATGGAACTTTTTATTCCATCCTCTGTGGTGCCCATCGGCGGCAGATCCCAGCCATGGTTTGGTCGCTCCTGTAAAATAGCATCACGCTATAAGCAGGAGTGCTACCGGGCCTGGGCTGATGCATCAACGTCTCGGGTTTTAAACACCAGCGCACTTAAAAAGAAGTATAATTCCGCCTCCAGGTCCTTCAAAAGCGTCATTGCCAAGGCAAGGTCTGAGCACATCGGCAGAATTGGCGAGAAGCTAGTTCGCCTTCCTTCGGGAACCCGTGCATTCTGGTCTCTCGCCAAGGCTGTCCAAGGGAACTTCTGTCAGCCATCCCTTCCATCTCTGCACAGAGAGGACGACTCACTGGCCCATGCCGCAAAAGAGAAAGCCGATCTGTTGTGCTCTCTTTTTGCGTCTAACTCGACCCTAGATGACGGGGGGAACACACCGCCGACCATCCCGCGATGTGAGTGCTCCATGCCGGATGTTCGATTTACACAGCGCTCGGTTCGCAAAGCACTCTTCTCCCTGGACGTTAGCAAGTCGAGTGGGCCCGATGGAGTGCCTCCCATTGTGCTGAAGACGTGTGCTCCGGAGTTGGCACCGGTTTTAACGCGTCTTTTCCGGTACTCCTACTCCCAAGGCGTAGTCCCGAATTCATGGAAGACAGCTTTGGTCCACCCGATCCCTAAAAAAGGCGACCGCTCAGACCCGTCCAACTACAGGCCTATCGCTATCACCTCCTTGTTCTCCAAAATAATGGAATCCATTATAAACTGCCAGCCCATGAGGTACCTTGAAGATCACCAGCTGATCAGTGACCGTCAGTACGGTTTTCGTCGGGGTCGATCAGCGGGTGATCTTCTAGTTTACTTAACTTAACTTAACTCATAGATGGGCGGAGGCAGTAGAGTCCAAGGGGGAGGCATTGGCCGTTAGTTTGGACATAGCGAAGGCCTTCGATCGGGTCTGGCACAAGGCGCTTCTTTCGAAGCTTCCTTCCTATGGGCTTCCCGAGAAATTGTGCAAATGGATCACCAGTTTCCTTGCTGATCGGAGCATCAAGGTCGTAGTAGACGGTGCATGCCCTGATTACAAGCCTATCAACGCTGGTGTTCCACAAGGCTGCGTGCTATCACCAACGCTGTTTCTCCTGCATATCAATGATATGTTGCTAACTGGTAGCATTCATTGCTATGCAGACGACAGCACTGGGGATGCCTTATATACCGGCCTTGCCAATATTTCTCGGGAAAACGTCGCCGAGTACCGGGACAAACTTGTGTCTGAAGTCGAGTCTTTGCTTAACAAAGTCTCGGATTGGGGCCGACTAAATCTAGTCCAGTTCAATCCCCAGAAGACACAAGTTTGCGCGTTTACCGCTAAAAAGAACCCCTTTGTCGTATCTCCTCAGTTTCAAGGCACTCCCCTTGCTGCCTCAGCCAGTATCGGAATCCTTGGCGTCGACATATCGAATAGCGTGCAGTTTCGTGGTCACTTGGAAGGGAAGGCCAAATTGGCCTCTAAAAAGCTTGGCGTGCTCAGCAGAGCGAGACAGTATTTCATGCCGGCACATCGCTTGCAACTTTACAAAGCGCAAGTTCGGCCCCACATGGAATACTATTCTCATCTCTGGGCCGGGGCACCCCAGTGCCAGCTCCTTCCACTTGACCGCATCCAGCGCAGAGCGACTCGAATCGTCGACGACCGAGTTCTTTCCGATCAGCTCGATACACTGGCACTGCGTAGAGATGTTGCATCTCTTTGCGTATTTTATCGCATCTATCACGGGGAGTGCTCTGAGGAATTGTTCGGACTAATTCCAGCCGCTCAATTTCACCATCGCACGTCGCGACAAAACTCGCGTTACCATCCGCACCATCTGGATGATTGGCGGTCCACCACTGTGCGATTTAGAAGAAGTTTTCTCCCTCGCACAACTTCTTTGTGGAATCAATTACCACCAGCGAATTTTCCGAACCGATACGACTTAGGAACCTTCAAGAAAAGAGCTTACACCTTTCTAAAAGGCCGGCAACGCATCTGCAATTCCCCTGGTGTTGCGGTTGTTCATGGGCGGCGGTAGTCACTTACCATCAGGTGAGCCGCAAGCTCGTTTGCCCCCTATTCTATAAAAAAAAATCAATGATATGTTGCAAACCGGTAACATTCATTGCTATGCGGATGACGGCACTGGTGATGCTCTTTCTATACACCAGTCGTACCAATTTCTCTCGAGAAAACGTCGTCGAGTACCGGAACAAACTTGTGTCTGAAGTGGAGTCTTTGCTGAACAAAGTCTCGGATTGGGGCCGACTAAATCTAGTTCAGTTTAATCCTCAGAAGACACAAATTTGCGCGTTTATCGCTAAAAAGCACCCCTTTGTCGTATATCCTCAGTTTCAAGGCACTCCCCTTGTTCCCTCAGTCAGTATCGGATTCCTCGGCGACGACATATCGAGTAAAGTGCAGTTTCGTGACCACTTGGAAAGGAAGACCAAATTGGCCTCTAAAAAGCTTGGCGTGCTCAGGAGAGTGCGACAGTATTTCATGCCGGCACACCGCTTGCAATTTTACAAGACGCAAGTTCGGCCTCACATGGAATACTATTCCTATCTTTGGGATGGGGATCCGCAGTACCAGCTCCTTCCACTTGACCGCATTCAGCGCAGAGCAGCTGGAATCCTTTCCGATTTGCTCGATTCACTGGGGCTGCGAAGGGATGATTCATCTCTTTGCGTATTTTCTCGCACCTACCCCGGGGAGTGCTCTGAGGAATTGTTCGGACTATTTCCAGCCGCACAATTTAACCATCGTACATCGCGACAAAACTTGCGATACTATCCATACCATATGGATGATTGGCGGTCCACCTCTGTGCGATTTAGAAGATGTCTTCTTCCTCGCACAACTTCCTTGTGTAATCGATTTCCACCAGCGATTTTTCCGGACCGATACGACTTAGGGACCTTCAAGAAAAAAGCCTACTCCTTTTTAAAAGGCCGGCAACGCATCTGCGACTCCCCTGGTTCTCTGATGTTGCAGTTGTTCATGGGCGGCAGTAGTCACTTACCATCAGGGGAGCCCCATGCTCATTTGCCCTCTCTCTTATTAAAAGAAAACCTACTTTTATCCGATATGGTGCTTAAGTCTCATTTAACACTTGAAGAATTCGTCGAACGCAAGCTGTTGGAAATCATATACGAGAATACTGATATAAGTGACCCTCCGTACGATTCACGCCAGTGCAGTGGTTGTTTATATGCAGATAGAAATCGCATATATCAATCGATGTAATGCAATCGTTATTAGCAAGACAGTCGATTACAGACGGTCGATTATATTAGTACACACTAACACTATACGAGTATAATATGTATTGTAACTATTCTTACCATTATTCAATCCTTTCTCATATCTAAAATAGTTAAACTATCGTCAAATTGGTTAAATTTTGTTAGGCGTTAACTAAAGGGTATGCATATATATTTAGCAAACCTTAATCTAATATTTATTATCCTATTAACGAGGGTTCTCACGTTATGTATTCCCACGTAAATTAGAGTTATATAAGACTATAAGTAGAGGGTTATGTTATTTACTAAATATTTAATTGGGATATCGCAAGTAGGTTCTGAGCTGTGTTGAATCGTATTATATCAAAATTTAGTATCACTTTACTAAAAGTATAATTTGTCCTGCCACTGATATTTTAGCGCCTGAATCTGATTTAAATGGGGTTCTTGACTAGAACTACATTTGAATGGTGAATTTCGAACAGTGGTTTGCTTAAGTTGGCTGCGGAAAGTTTCAGGAGAGGCAATTGCTTTCGAGTGGTGAAACCCTTAGTTTGCTTGCTTGGTTTATGAAATCAATTTTTTTTATAGGGTAGAGTGAGAACGAGCATACAGTTCACCTGATGGTAAGTGGTTGCTGTGCCCTATAGATATTTACATTTATCCTCGTTTGTGAATCAAAATGCATATACGTTGTCCCCCGTGAGGATTAAGAGGCTACTAAGAGGTAAAAAGGGTCTCTGGTTCTCTACACTCTTAATGTGTAGAAAACCGGCTCCGACTCTTAATGTTATTGTGTTTCGTATGGTTAGTGTAGAGAACCGGCGACCCTTTTTACTGGAAACGAGGTATTCTATCTTAGTCCTCACTGGTGACAACGCATCTGCAACATGATACGTAATCGAGGATAGATTTAGATGTCTATAGGCCACAGCAACCACTTACCATCAGGTGGACAGTGTACTCGTTTGTCACCTTATCCTATAAAAAAACCATCTGCAAAGGCCGTGAGCTCTTTGTGTATAGAATAAGGGTGACAAACGAGCACACAGTCGACCCTATTGTAAGTAAATACTGTGGTCCATGGACCTCTACAGCCATGCTCGATAAAGAATCGAACTCCAGATGCGTTCTTACTTCGAGGACTAAGATAGAATGTGTTGTTTCCAGTAAAAAGTGTCTCCGATTCTTTAGTCTTACCATACGAAGAACAGCAGCATTATAGCCGCTATTTTAAAACGCTATTCTGTGAGCGCATCCTTATAGCCACAGTCATAATATAGAATGCCAATATTAAAAAAAGCCCAATCGTGCTACAGTCATAATATAGCTGCAGCATGGCTCGACCGCGTAAAAAAATCTTTCTGACATTTTTCATTGTTCCCTATTATGACACCCACGGGACAAAGTGGTTTAATGGATTCCGCTACGACTCCATCACACGGCTGCCTTTAAAATTGCCTCGTAAAAAATAATTTAACTAATCTTCCCTCAATAAAAACAAATAGGCTTGTATTAATGACGTTGCGAAACTAAGCACATAACTTTGTCCGTGTAACGGATTTTGTAATTAACTATTGCGTACTATTTCAGGCAAAATTTAATTTCGTCCTGAAAATTAATTTCGCTTAATGATTCTATACTTTGCCAGGTATTTTCGTAGAACGACGGAGTGGAGAGAGATGGTTATAGTTCGCACGAATTGTAATTAAAGTAGGAGCACGAACTTTCTTTGTACATGTTTAATATTATACATTTGCATACAAAAGTGTTTCGCTTTCGAATGAATAGGCTCGAATGAGTGATGACATTGAAGAGGCAACTATCAATGTCATCCATAGCGCAAGACTTTGTTATAGTATAGTTTTACTTTCGAATGAATTTCCTCGAATGAGTGATACCATTTAAAAGTGGCGGCGTACGAGTATCCGCCACTCCATACTATTCCGTGTGTGTCATAAGCAACATCAGAGGGAAATTAAACACTTGGGCATTATCATCATCTTAACAGACTTGAAAACTAAGTTTGCCAACTAGCCACGCGTTGCTACTATGAAAAATATTATCCCCCGTGTGAGGCAAATTCTGGGGGAGGCCTGTGATCAGCCATGGACTTTTGATAAGCTGTAATGTAACGTAATTTACTGCATATTACAATAAAACATTAGCGCGAAGATGCGAGTCGCGGATTCTACAAATACTACATACACACTCTCCATAAACAAGACAGTGTATAATGGTTATATATGCAATTTATGTCTGTGAAACGCGGTACGGGAAAAATTCCAAATGTGGAAATTACGGTTGTTTCAAGGCAAGAAAAAATACCATAAACTTACACCAGTAACCCAGGAGGGTGGTTAGAGACTACGGACTTCCTTTTGACACAGATCTAAGACTTCTTTGTCGCTTCTTTCACAACCATATATATATACGCATATCAGATCATTGGTTGACGGTATTCTAGGTGGTCAGTAGGTGAGTGGCGATCTTCGACATTTCTGCATTTCGATCAATAAACTCCCTTCTGTCCCTTGCACTCACTATCGATAATACATCTCTGTGATATACTAGCGATCCGCCCCGGCTTCGTACGGGTGATTTCTGGATATCCACACCAGACCTACCGGGTCCAGTTGTGAATCTAAACCATCCAAGGACTCACTGAAACACACAAAAAATTTCATCCGAATCGGTCGAGTCAGTTTCGAGTTTTAACGAGAAAAACGGACAGTAATTGCTTTTTTTTATATAGAGATAATACATAATATTACACAATAACATAAGTATTTTTTCCATTTTTTCCCATCCAGTTTAATCATGTTTGCTTTTGTCAATAAGTTTGAGCTTGAAACGAACCTTTGAGCTTCAGATTGTGTCGAACAAATAAAAACTTTCATCTTAGAAAGGTCTGTAAACGCGCCGTGTGTAAACACATGAACTAATTTTATTTTATTACAAATATCGTAGTGATTTGTTTGGATAGAGATCACCTTTTGTGTCAATGATTTTATCTTTAGCCGATCTTTTGTTTTATCAAAATGAAAAATATGAAAAATGAAAATATTAATTTGACAGAAAACAACTATAATTCAATGAAGTATCCGTTGGTACCCACACTTGGTAATCCTGTATCGTGAGTGCCCAATTAGCATAAACAATTTATAAGTACAGTTTTCGCTCATAAATGTAACATATTGTGGACAAATCGGCTCCCTTGGTAAAAAAGTTAGCGATCACAGTATCAAACTTCTCGTAACTTTGATGTTGTTTTTCATCGATCGTGTGCCGATTTACAGATGTTTAGGTATTTTTAGGTATTTTTATCACAAGATATTCTGAGATTTTTCTAAAGTGGTTTATTTTTTCCTATTGAGAGAAAAACTTTTGTTGTCTCTGCGTTGTAATTGAGAATCCCACAAGTAATTAACTTAAAGGTTTTGATTAAATTATGATAAGTAAAATGTGTTCAGAATGTGTGGGTGCTTTAGGAACAGATACGAAGTAAACGGATTTAAATCTGTCATTAAATCTTCGTATGAAGTCGTGTTAATGTTTATAATTATGATGGTTAATTAGAAATTAATCTAAGCGTCACGCTACGACGTATCGCTTGCGCAAGTGTGAGCATTTGGGACATGTCGACGAGACTAACTTTTCAATTGAGACCGTCGTAAATGTAGCGATTCATTATTGCTTCTTTAAATATATTTGATCCACTTATTTTGGTAAGAAAATAAATTTTAGTTCTTTTCGTTCGTCAATAAACTGTATTAGTTCTTTAGAGTGG